GAAAAGTATTCCACTGCTCCCACTAACATATCCACCCAAGTCTAGATCATTTAACAACTGCATAAATTCACACTTCCTTAGAATCATATTTCTGTGACCCATTTCCCTCCCTAATCACTAACTAGCCTCATATGAAAAGTCTTCTATCCGGGGATTTAGTTCAGTGGTTCCAGCACCTCCCTTGCAAGCCCAAGAACCGGAGTTTGATCCCTGGTGCCAAAAAAAAAAAAAAAAAAATCAGGATCCAAACGTCTTCTCAGTTATCATTTGTACCCGAGCATACTGAGATTATTTTGCCACCCAGCTTTCCCTCAGAAACTGTGATTGCAGGTAATCCTGCCAAATCTCAGGTTGCATTCTAATTTGAAGGGCTTTGAAACACTTCCTTTTGCAGTCAAGTTGTTTATTTTCAAAAACATGTTTTAGCAGTAGCTCTGGATTACTGAACCCTAAACTCCAAGGTTCTGGGTGTAGCTTGAGGACCTTCTACTTCTGTGATTCTAGAATGGCTCCAGTACCATCCACAGAATGGCAAGAAAAGGATCTACTTCAGGACAGAAGCACCTTAAAAGAACCTACAAAGGAATGTATAGGGTTTATTTTTCTACAAAATGGGGAACTTTCTATGTGATGTCTAATATACTACCTCCTTAGGGGGGAAAAAACACTGCTTGGAAGTTAAATTCTAGATAGGCTCAAATTTAACCTTAAGTAAAGTGAGAGGCTATTTACCAATCTATACAAGACTATAAAATATAAATTCATGACAAATAATGAATGGCTTTGGGTTCTACCTCTTGTGGGCTCCAGGTTAAAAAGACACTCACTTCATTCATGATTGCAACTCAGTGGGTAGGGAGATGCATGGCCACTCATGCCAGGGTTACCCCTAGATCCAGTAACAACTGTAGATGTTGTGGGAAGGGATCATCCCAGCTACTTTGTATGACAATCTAGAATGAAGTTTGAGAAAAGTGATTCACAGGCGAAGTCAAAGGCTAGCTCTAACCCCTCCCCACTCCCTAACCCACACATATCTAGTTCAATTGGTGACAAGAGGGAGACATTGCCCTAATACCCTGTGGAGACAATGGAGATATGCAAAGAGTATTCTCATTCCTCAGTTTGGAGAAGAGACTTTGTAGTCAAAGGAGGTATCTGACACTTACGATTCAATTCAGGAACTACTTTCCTGCAGAAGCCAATTATATGGCTTTTAAAAGATCTGTTTGTATGTATTTCTGTGTGTCTGTGCCTGTGTGTGTGTGTATACCTCGGCTGCACTACTTATAAAATGGTGCTGGTGGGACAGAAAAAAAGGGAGAATACTATTGGATAATGCAGCATATTCTTCTATACCTACTGAAATTGAAAAGCAAAACAAGAAAAGAATCAGAGATGCCTATATTTTTGAGGACCAGGAGAGCATTTTGTTGAGATCCATAAAATATACAGAAAACACTGGGTATATCTCAGATTGTGTTGTAATTAGAAGGAGTTCAGAATGCATCTTCGAACAAGAGAAAATGGAGCTGGTTCTGATTGTATCAGCCTGATAACCGTAAGCAGTTCACAGTAAGGTAAGGAGGTACATTTTGGCGGAAGCCAGTGTTGCATTTGATGTATTCTTAACTCAGGTAGCTGGCTGGCTTTCAAGCTTTGTTATCTGCCCCCACATCTTGACCTAATTTAACAAGTTGCTATAGGAGCCCAGTGAAGGTTGATGCAATTTTCTTATCTTTGGAGGAAGAATGTAACTGTGCAAGAGAATGTGAAAATTCAGTTTCTAACTGATTTCCACACTTACAGTGCAATAACTAAGACAACACATAAAGAAATAAATCACATTCTTTTGAAGATGAAATAGACAAAAATATTTATTTCTATAGCAACAGTAGAAAGATGGATTCTTTTCCCAGTTTAGAGAATCTAAACATCCACCCTTTAGTTCAGGCCAAATTGCCATGATTTAATGGTGTAAGTCCCTGCACTGTGTCACCACACATACTATACTCAGAAACAGAACCTGAGACAGAAAATAGGTGTGACTTGGGAGCAAAAAAAAAAAAAAAAGTGCTGCCAATACTTGTGAATGATTTCCACTTTTCAAAGGACTTTTCCCAGACACCCATTCTTAACCTCCCATTCGTGGGTACTCTTGTCATTGCCTCTATTGAAGGACAAGGCCAGTTTGTACATTCCATCTCCTTCTCTGTTCCCCCAGGATGTATGTGAAATAAGGAGGGGCAATAACCAAAGTGCAAGGTCAGAGAACCAGCACAGGATCAGTGTGCAGGGTAGACAGGGTATGCTCATTAGACACAGCATGGGAAAAGAGTCACCAAAATTAGGGCTGCTCCCTGCATCTCACAAATCTCAACGTGCATTCAGGTCAGAACAATAAGAGAATTCAGTTCAAGTCTGTGGCCACTTAAAGCACCTTGAATTCCATCCACAGTGAGATCTTAAGGATTACTATCTTATCTTCATTCAACATGTGCCCATCTGCTAAAATAATTGATTCGTTACAGTCAGGGGGGCTTTCCCTCTAAGTCTAGCCCACTGTCTAGCACTCCCTTGTCTAGTTAATTGATTTGGTTCTATTACATCTTCACACATTTTTCTACCGTGAAGACAAGGACGAACACTTCTACTTCACTAAAAGTAGAACAGGGTACAAGGTAAATTTGCCTAAAATCACACAGTGTGTTACAGTTGGGAGGAGTACAAGAGGACTTCTGTTTTCTGGGCTATTGTTCTCACCACCATTTGACAGATTGAAAAGTTAAATCCCCAGTTATAAAGAACAACTGAATGGTGAGATGTTTAAAAATGTTTTCAGTTCAACTGATTATTCAATCTTTGAGACTTTTATTTTTTAATATTTTTTTCTTTTTTGGGGGGATGGGTACCAGGGATCAAAGTCGGGACCTTGCGCTTGTGAGGCAGGTGGCAGAACCACTGAGCTAAATCCCCAGCCCTGAGATATTTATTTATTTATTTATAACAGGAATCGAACTTGGGTCCTTGTGCTTGCGAGGCAGGTACCAGAAGACTTTTAAAGTGTAATGCTCCTCTCTTTTCCTCTATTCACTGACTGTTCTGGTCTCTGACCCCAGGTGATAGGGAAACACAGAATTTTGGAAGGTAAGGAAGGATCAAGGGAGGGAGAAAAGGAAGGAAGGAGGGAAAGGAAGGGAGGGAGGAAGAGAGACAGGAAAAGGAAAAAGGAAGGAAGGAAGGAAGGAAGGAAGGAAGGAAGGAAGGAAGGAAGGAAGGAAAGGCGGGAGGGAGGGAGTAGAGACGAGTGGGTGGGTGAGAGAAAGCATCTACTAACACAAACAAGAGTGATGTCAATCGCTGCAAAGCTACCTAGGCCTTTTCTTCCTCTTCCCAATTACATGGTACTTTTCCTGTCGCTCTTTCATCAATGCATCCAACTGGAGCTTAGTACCAACTACAGGAGCTGGCACTTTTGTTCATGATGAGAGACATTTAATACGCTTTTCCTCATCCCAAATGTCTTTAAACAAAGTGGGTAAACTTTCTAACAATCTGCCATTCAAAGATGGGAAGACTTCTTTAAAATGTAGCAAGTTCCCACCTATTAGCCATGTTCAAGCAAAAACCATGGAGATATTTTTTCAATAATAAAATACGAGGAGGCCAGGGATTTAGCTCAGTGGTTCCGCCGCCTGCCTTGCAAGCACAAGGACTCAAGTTTGATCCCAGTACCGATAATAATAATAATAGGACACTGTCAAGTTCCTTTCCTGACCCATGACCCTAAATATAGCCCTTGGCACTAACTCAAAACAGACACATTTCCTAAGCACTGTTCATGCAAGGAACTCACTAGGGTCTTTGGAGAACACTACATAAAGACACATATTCTAGATCTCTGAAGGAGGAGTAGTTTTTCTCAGTATCTGAGAAATCTTTGTTCTCAAATGTCAACTGGTTTTCCTCAGAAAAATCCTAAGACTTCTCTGAACACAATAAGTACCTAGCACATCCTTAAGGTCAGACAGATAGGTCAAAAGAAAAACAGATTTTGTTGTTTGTCTTCAATCACATAGAGCATGCCTATAAGGTAATCTGCCAGGGTAGCGACAATGTAAAAGAATAAGGGCCCAGACCACATGCAAGTAGTCAAAGCCTAAAATAAGCTCCACTCACAACATACTTTCTAAGTTTTAGAAAACACTGCAATCACAGAAAGAATCAGATGATTAACATATCAGTTAAGGCTCCTTGGACATTTCTCAGGCACATTCTTCAGATGTTCCCCTGGTTTGTGCTACAACCCTCTCACAACAGTAGGATATTTTACTCTATGACCAATTTTTCAACCAAAGCTCAAGCTCTCGATGTACATTATACTGTTCTTTACAGTCTTTACACTACTGCTTTAGAGATTCTACTCCTGGAGGAAAAATCAATTATAAAGCTAAGTGAGAAAAGATATTTGCTATATAAGGCCAGGATGGATCTGGACAGAGTTTAGGGCCACACAGGACATGTTTCTCCCATTCAAACTGCTAGCCTAATGTGAACTGCATGATAAAACAGTCTACCATGTAGTCCATTCGTTCAATTATGCCTTTAAGAGAAGCAGCCGCTGGTTTTATGTTTGGAAAGACCTCCCAAGAGCAGGCCAGGAAAAGTCCCTTGATGCCACACCACTACACAGTTTCCAGGAACATCAAATCATTACAGCTGCCTTCCCCCAGATATGGAAAAAGGCTCAAAATAAGTTTCCTACCACTCTTGGAAATGACCCCCTCAGGGTAGAATGATACAATCCACTTCCAAGAATGAAGATCTATTCACAAGCAGATTGGCCTGAGAAGCTGAAAACCTCTCAGAGATGTCTCCCCATTTCCTCTATAAAAGAAAGAGGGTATCCCAGGGCCTCTAGGTAAGTGGCACAGTGCCTTCTGCTAAACCTGCCCACAGAAAGGTGCAAGATGGGCTGCCTAGGCAGGGAGTGTGCCTACCTGTGTAGCCAGCCAAGGCAGCAGCAGGAATGACAGGCTTGTCCTTGTTGAGGTCAGCACGGTCACGCACATAGTCCTTGAAGGTGCCCTTGGGCTTGTGGTTGGGTAGGGCAGCTGGATAGTCCTCGGAGTCGAAGCTGTCATAGGAGGGAACGCGCTGCAGGCTGTTGAAAGATGACTGGCTGCTCCAGGACTGGGTGAGACGATCACAACTATCGTAGCTCTCTATGCTCTCAAAAGAGTCCTGTCCCCCGAGTTTACCTGGAGGTAAAGGAGGAAGTAGGAAGAGGGCGGGGGAAGGGATCAGGAAAAGACAACTGTAAAAACCCTCTTATGGAGAGACTGCTAATCAGACCTGCAGGAGGGACAGAGGAGGGAGGGGCCCTTGGGAAGAGAAGCTCACAGATTATGGGTCTACTCCAGAGAAAGGGGACTAGGCTGAGAACCACTTGAAAAGTCACTTCTAATCTGCTGCTGCCTACATTACAGCTCCTAAGACAGATTCACAGTCACACGTTGCTCTTATTTGTCTAAGAGACACAGCAGTGTTTGGGACCTCAAGAATTCCAAAGCCACAAATCCCAAAGCTGAGAATTGTATATGTTATCATAGGATTCCTGGCTGATGCATTAGATCCAGTGAAGTAATGAAGAAATCAGAACAGTATCAGACTGAATCCTTTTTTGTCAATGTGAGAGCATGAGTTCAAAAGGCCCAATTTGGCAAAATATTTTGATCATTAAAAAACAAAATTCCATTAGACTAAGAGCAGATTGACCTTCCTTCACCTTAAAACCAAAGTGTTATTTTTAAACTTTTTTTTCTCCAATACTATTTTTAAATGAAATACATGTCCTATCTTTATGCTGTCTCAAATAGAGAAACAAGTTATGGGATGTTGTTTCCTAGAGATTTAAAAAACTATTTCAAACAGAAAATTATATTCTTAATCCTTTTAAAGTGTGATTCAGTACTTGAAATGTATGCTTCTTAGGAGAAGAAAGGGCAGTTTAAAAAAAAAGCCAAGAAGTTGATTAAATAGTTAAGTTCCATAGCAGTATCAAAATTTTTTTACTCTGTTAGTTGCTTAAGGCATTCTTAACTGACCACAAGATCATGCAAGTTCATTAATTTCCCAAACCAGGTTATAAACAGCTGCTATGATTGCACAATAACTCTTGGAGAAATTTCCATTGGCAAATAATGCCACTAAAAAGAAGCCTAGAAAATTAAAAAAAAACAAAACTGGAGCAAAGTAAATGCATCTAAGAGCTAAAAAGGCTCCCAGGAATGTGTTCTATATTCTATGTCCAGATATTTATCAGGCAACCTAGGCAAATCACAGGAGACTGGAGTGGCAGCTCAGCCCAGCACATGCCAAGAGACCAAAGGAGGCAATGTATGCTTATGCAAAAATACCTGTGACTCAATTCCCAACTGTCCCAGCCTGGCTGATCTATAAATTTCCATTCCCAAAATAAACTTGGTGGGACATCCTCATAATAGTATGTTTCCAGTGTGTTCTCCCCTTCACAAAGGTAGGGATTGATTAAAAAATAAAATAAAATTCAAACATAAGTAGATCAAATCAAAACTAAATACATAAGGAAATATGTAGCTCCTAAAACTTTGAGAAAAAAATTCCAGATGAAAATGGATTATGCTGCAGATTTTCCACTCTTCCCACTCCCTGCAGCACTGCTTACAATAAAAAGGTGGCATTATCTACTTCATCTCATTCCTTTACTCTTCCATTCAAAGGAGAGGTTTCATGGAGTAATCAGCCCAGCCTACACAACCTCCGTCACACGTGTACCTCTTTATTACTATGAAAAATTTAGGAGTGGTCCCTGCCAGAAAGTCACATTAAATGACCCAGGAAAACAACTCACAACCAGAATGCCTTAGCCTCTTTTTAGTAGAACAAAAAAATTTCCTGGCATCTTATAAAAAGATGCTTGCTCATACCAGCTATGGATCTTAATGGTCATTCAGTTGTTTGGGAGACAAACACATCAAAAGACTACAAAAGAGAATTTGTATTTTCATGAAGAACATCCCACCCAGTCACCAATACTGAGGTAGCGGCAATGCTTAAGTCTGCTAAAATGACAGTGATCTCTATCAGCCATTTGTATATTTGGAGGGTGAGGCGATAGCATTTCCACCACCAAGTTAGTTGAGTTTCCAAGGCATCCCAGTAAGCAACAGCATTAAACTAGGCCACAACCACTCTCTGGCAACCTTTCAAACATGAACCAAATGCAACTTGGCAGAAAACTGTGGTTTATAGCTGAAGGCAGCTTTCATTTTAGCTCTATTTCACAACTGGGGAGCTGGAAACCTTCATTTACGGGCATTTTCTCCAAAAATGGGTTGACTCCAACTGGATTAGACACTCAGTTTTGCTACTGTGCTCACACAAGGAATCACATATCCCCTAAGATGTGCTCTGGCCAGCTTTTCTGATAAATGCCTCAGAGAGGCCCCTCCAACACTCTCCAACTCCATGGAACAAACCTCAGAGCACACAGAAGAGTAGATGAGTCTCACACAGCAAGCCATTGAATAGACCAGCACAAAGACAGGCCTCAGAAGCCAAGCAAGCAGGACACAGAAGCACTCTGTACACTATAATGCAGTATATGAATACTATGATTATTAATAATAATCCTCTAACAGTAATGCTTTCAGACTAGACCATCTCAGATTGAACTGGCCTTGGAATCAGTCTTGTTGCAGCACCTCTAACATGCAGAAAGCAGACCTGCTGCACAAAATGGACTTCCTTTTACGTTGCTATGGCCTACGACTCAGAAAGGAAGGCTGAGAGTAGAGCCAGAAAGAAGTACCTCATGACCTTTTGTGAGGGTCCCTTTTAGTTTATCATCATCAGTTTGGGGTTAACAAGGTGGTGGAAGGAGGAGAGAGAAGATGCAATTACACAAATACAAAAAGCCAGATGGAATCTTAAAACAATGTAACAGGGATATCTACCCAAAGTTACAACATGGCTGAATCCCAAACCCACAACTCAGTCTCGTTACATATATGTAGCGAAAGCCCATGAAAAAGAAGGTCATTCAAATGCTTTAGCCATACACTCGTCCATTTCAATAGACATGCACCCAAAAATAAAAGACAGAAAGGGGAAGATAAAACTGGCCCCACCCATCCCCTTTGGTCTGAAACACAAACACTGGTACCCTACGAAGGACAATTTTAGGTTCTTAGTTTGTGGGGACTTTCCCTGCAGAGGGTCCATTGGTTATCCAAGGCTTGCTGGCAGGAAGTGTGAACTCAAACACTCGAAGAAAAAGACAGGGTATGTGGCCCAAGATGCAAACGGGGTGACCCTCCAAAGTAAGGGGACCTCCAAGAGCATCAGAATAGTATCACAGCTGGGCAAGCAATAAAGCAGAAATCACTAACATACTGGCCCAAGTCTGACTTCTGCGACCAACCAAAGGCTTCTCTACCACTTGCTTTAGCTTTCTCCTACTCCTCTTTCTGTCACCAACTCCTTCCCATTTGCCATCTGAAAAGTCATCTTCTTAAGTTTCTTGGAAATCAGCTAGCTCTTCCTTACAATAAACTGGACTTTGACTATATTACTTCATAGGTGATACCTGTGATAGTTTATATCATGGTTGTAAGTTAGGTACAATTTACCTTTTTTGCTTTACGTCAGTCTGCTCTATTTTGCAAACTTTACTTCACTGCCATTGAATGATTTATCACTATTATAATAGCCATTTCAACAAGAGTACCTTCTTTTGGAAGCCGCTGACCACCTTTCCCTAGTCCTCTAGCTAAATACACACTTTCACCACACTGTTGATGACTGGGGCCAAATAAACCACTGGTTAACCATCCTGTATCTTCCTAAACCAAAGAAGTCACAGGAGGCTAAAGATCCCAGGATGAATAAGCACAGGTCATTCCAGGTACCAAGCCAGTTTCTATACAGACCAATTTAGTACTCTGGAGGAACATAGGACACATGCAAAGCTTAAGAGTTTCCCAAGAGGGTCACTAAAGCATTTTCATTTTATTTTGTGTCTCCTCATGCAAAATCCTCTCAAAGAAAATAAGGTATCTTTATTTTTAAATGACCAAATTGAAATAGAATGAGATATATGATTATTTATTCTGCCACACCTGAATCCCCCCATGAACCCTGAAGTTTCTGTCATCGTGATGCATGTGGCTGAAATAACATGACACAGAGATCTTAATCATCTAGGCATTCTAAGATGGGAAGGCCAAAATTGAGGAATCTATAGAGCTTATCAGACGGAAAAAAATGAGAAACTCACAAAGGTAAGTAATTCCTACAAACCCAACAGCTTTCAGAGAAGAGATCTGACCTACCACGACTGGTCCTCCCCATGCACATGTTGTCAGGGGTGACGACTTCTTGCTTGATGGCAAAATAGTCAGTCTGCAAGGTGTCCGTCTGAAGAGGATCCCGGAGAATGACTGAGGGGTAGTCATTCTCATACTTGAGGGACAAGAGCTCCTCTGAGCTGATGGGATGGAGCGTCTGGTAGGACTCTGTGATGAAGCTGGGCTCCGAGAACTCCGATGGAGGGACACACTGAGCATGCTCGATACCATAGCCTGGACATGGAGATGCTTGCAGTTAGAGAAGACAGATGTGCACCTAGAACACACAGTTCTGCACCACTGTGATGGCCTCACAATGTGGAATGAGCTAGCTGCTTTAGAGAATTAAAGGAAAACACTTGAATTCAGAAAATCTTGAGTTTTTAACCTTGCTCCACTACTTAATGGCTATGGGCACTGATAAAATGCTTTCCTTTTCTGATTTTATTTTCTTCATCTACAAATAAGTGTGCCTGTAATCTTCCTCAAAGTGCTGAGATGAGGATTAAATGAGAATAAATATATATAAACTGCCTCCAAACATTTGTGATATTCAAAATATTATTGTTATTACTAGAATAAAAACAATATTAAGTTAAACAAAATGAAAATAACCCTGTTTAGCCCCATTTGTTTCGAAGGAAAACAAAGCCATCAGCTAAGCACAGCTCTATACTAATTCTGTTCCTCTTGCCACCTCTCTGGCATGGCTAGGTATCGTATACTAAAAAGAAAAAGGTTTTGTATTATGTAATAGGACACGGATCTGCATAGCATGCTCTTAAAGAGGGATTTCAGAGGAAATACTGTGCTTTCCACTGGTCAAAAAGGAAAGATCAAGGACCAAGATCAGATCACTAACCCAACCCTGTTGGCCAATATAGTGCACAGAATAAGATCCAACATTTAGAAGTCGAGTTGTATGTATTCTTTCCCTGTGACTTTCACATTCCGAGATGCACTGTGCAGAAACCTGCAGGCTAATAAGATATGTACTGGGTTTGGTTGTGGCAAAATGCCAGAGCACTTTCCTAGAGCACAAAAGTCCAAGGATTCAATCACTAGCACTACAAAAAAAAAAAAAAAAAAAAAGAGAGAGAGGAAAGAAAAGTAAAGCACATACAAAGTTAAACTCTTATACTTTATGGGAAATAATAATTAACAAGACTGTAGTTTTAAAAAAAACATTATTTTCCATAAAATTACCACGAAGGAGTCTGAAATCAAGTGAGACAGGAGATCTTTCCTTGTGCCCCATTATAATGAGCAAGGAGAAGGAAGGAAGCAAAAGCTGGAACTTACTGATGAAGTAATCCGAGGTATAACGGGATTCTGGGTAGGTAGGATTGACCCCATTAACTTGATATGGTTTCACATCCTCTGCAACAGACAAGGTTGGAAATGAAATAAAGAAGTCAACATGTAAGGAATACTTGGCCTAAAAGGATCTTGGATGCAAAAGCCACAATGATCTCAACCCTTTTTCTAAGAAATGTGTAAGTTCATTAACTGCGCTGGTGTCTGAGACTGCCCTGATTGGGGCCTTGTCAAGAGATGAGATCACAAAAGTATGGCTAAGTTTATTATTTCAGTAGCTACAAAATGGGATTTAATATCTTGGAAAGTGAGTCAGTGAGTAATCGCTAAGCTCTCATTCTCAGCCCATGTGCTGTGCGTATGTATCACACTAGAGATTAGATTCAAAGGCTGGACAGTGAATGGAGATGTCACCAAGATCAGTGCCCAACCCCTAAACTGATAAGTTCTAAATCGTTTCAGAAATACACTGCAATCTTTGGGCAAGTAGATTATACATCTTCCACTTCTAACAGATGTTTGGTTTGCGCTCTCTGTTTTTCTCACTGCTCTTACAATTCAAGTTCAGGCCCAGACAAGAAATAGAACACTGGTAAGGTGACTCCACTTAGTGAACTAGGAAGGCTTATATAAAGCAACACAACCAAACAGTTTCCCCGGGGAAGGGGAACAAAAGGGAGAGGAAGGATATTCAAAGACAGAAGTGCTTTCCATCTAGTTATGGTCAGCATGGGATCTTCTGTTTACCCTGGAATCTAAGGGGGAAGCGGGAGCCTCTGACACTTTTATGGAGCCATCTGACTAAATTTCACGGAATCAGACATAAAGACAGTGCATTGGTTTGGGTTTTTCCTCGGCTATTTAATAGCTTGTTGGGAACAAAGGCTCACAGGAAAACAAGCTTATGCATGTACACACACATACACCCCCCAAAAAAAAGTTCCCAGTTGAGATAAAATGATTAAACTCTGCTCTAGTAGCTTATCAGATTGAAACATCCCCTGAACCTTTGGCCCTCCACCCCACCCCAAACATCAACGTTCTCTGGGTGCTATGTTCCTCTGGTTTAATTATAGAACCAGAACTGTAGCCTCGGTACAAACAGATCCCTCATCGCTTCAAGTATGTGAACCTGAAAAGGGATGATTTTTACTGTCTAGCTCCACAGAACACTGGGTGGGAAGGTATGCTTTTTGTTTTTAGGTACACTCAGTTACATCCTAATTCTCTTAAAGTCCCTTATGATAGTCCAGAAAGGCAACCCAGACCTGTCTTAGGGACAGAAACTCTCCATGCATCCACTAGACCACAGAAAGAAGATAGGATAGGAACTTAAAGTTAAACAGGCAAAATAAAAAAATGAAAAGAGGCTTAAAAGTTAAAGAAAATAGAGTTTAAATAAATGAATGATTTTTATGGACAAGAACAATCATTGACCTTGGCCTTCCTATCTCACAGGATTATTCTGATAATTCAAAGAGAAGATGTGTTTTATAGCATTTTTGAAACAAGATACTATCAATGTACTAGACACTATATATATATATGATCAAGACAGAGTCAGACACCCAAAACACCTGATAGTTCCACTGTGATGAACAAGGGAAATGTTACAGTATGTAGTAGAATATATTTGATTTACACAACAGGTGTGATCTCCTGCCAGCAGTTAAATCAGATCTGCAATGAGCCTCCCGTATCTTTTCCCTATATAAACAGGTTGCTCGTGTTGATACCTCAGAGTGGGTAATGTGCAGTTACACAGACAGCCTGCCAGGGCGGTGGGGAGGACTGGGAAGTGCCACCAGCACTCCACCGGGGCAATCACAGGGAGATTCATCTAGTTCTTGACTGTCATTTTTCAACAGAAAAGCTGAAAAGAAGAAATAAAGAGCACAGTCCCAGGTCCCCAGCAATCTCATTTGGGTCTCACTTGAGCAGGATGAAGAATATCCTTACACACACAAAGGCAGGTATTATAAGGACTAAAAGTGCTAATCCTGAATTTTGCACCCTTCCCCCAGTGCCCACACCAAGGGCTGGAGCTGGTGACCACAGAGAAAGGGTGGGCCTGGGTTACAGAGGGCAGCGGGCTTCTAGGCTTACAGTCAGCAGGAGGGCACTGCTGACTGCTGGTAACTGCAATTTATTTTAAGAAGAAATTCAGAAAAATAAGGGCAAAAACACCCAAGTTCACTGGCTGCTGCTGTTTCTGTATTCAGCCAGGACTGCGGGACATGAGTCACTTGGTCCAAAAAGGTTGGAAGAGGCCAATAGGGAAGGCCGTGTCATTACAAGGTTGCAACACCTTGTCCTCATCTGACCCTGGCTTCTGCTCCAGATGTGAATAGTATTATGCACCTCTGCAGGTCCAACCCACCAGTAGGCAGAAAGGCCTGTCTTATTAACAAGCTCAGAAAGGCTAAGCTCTCTTCTGCATGTGACCAGGTATTATTACATGGCCATGGATCAAGGAAATGTGCATTAAGACTGCCAGGAAAAAAAGTACAAAAACTATTCTGGCATTGGCCGGAGGCACTTGCTAACACATAGTACATGGGCCTAAGAAAACAACTCGGATCAGAACTGGACATATCATAAAGCTAATGGAGTACAAAGGTGCTTGAAATTAAAATCTTGACCCCCAATACATAGAAGAAAAAGAAGCTGGCCTGTACTAAGCACCTGCTAGATGTCAAGCTCTGAACTAGGCACATCCCCTTTAAGAATCTATGCCCTGATTGCACCACATCCCCACTGGGTCAATCTCCCTCCCCATTCAGAGTAATTTCACACAAACCCCACCCTCCCGGTTTCCACACATTTACCTTTCTGCAGGATCTCTAGATGCTCCCATAAGATGTCCCCAACAAAGTCTGGAGCCAGCTCAAGGAAGCAGTCTTTACCCAGGCCACAGAGAGCTGCTCCGTTCATACAGAATTTCTGGAAGTCCACACCCTTCAGGCTGAACTCATTCACCGCCCACATCACCCAATCCCGAACGTGGGTCTCCGTCCACTGCCGAGGGTCTGGGGGAAGAGACCAAAGGAAGATGCAGTAGACCAGGCTCTGGAGCAGACACCAGAGGACCTGAACACTGCTGAGGATGCTATCCTAGCCACAGAATCGGGAAGCTCCAGCCTGCAGACAGAGCTCATCAGGCACCTCCCGCAGCCCATCTCCCACATTCAATATCCCACCTTCTCCACGGAGAGAAGGTGCTCTGGTGACCCAAAAGGTAACACAGGAGGAGGAGTAGGCACATTCCCTACCCTTCACTCAGGCCAAGATTTCCATGAATCTCCTCTCTCACTGCCACATTTCTGTTTGATTTTTTTTAAAAAGCCCTAGTCAGGGAGTAAACGGTTTCTGTAATAGCAATAATAATAATAAAGCAAAGTGTTTTCTACAGATTACAAAGGCCTATCCCCACTCTTAAGTCTTATAATATATTTGGGACCATTATTTCCAATTATTTTTATCTTAGCAATTTATGCTTAGTAATAATCCTAGCAATTAGAAAGGGTAAGTCATTCAAATGGTACAGGGTGATGGCATTATTAGGTACCTGTATTATACTGGAAATCCTGCAAAGTCTGTTAAGTATTATAGCCACTACTTTGAGGAGTACAGTAGTACAGACAACTTCTAATCTTCATTTATGGTCTGTACACAACTACAGCTGCAAATGACATTCCAAGTACTCAGATGACAGCAGGTTGTAGTGCCTGTGCCACAGCTGCTCCAAGGGTCCCTACTTCAATCTAGCAGACTATTCATGAGCTTTGGGGAAGCCCAGTAGTCAGAATTCACCTTATTGTGTCTTGTGATCCTCAAAAGATATTTGGCATTGCTGTACACTAAGGTCTACAATAAAATCGTAAAGAAGGGCAAAGGTATATAGATTCATTCACAGAATGTTGAAAGCTTGAGTTTGGTAAGGCTAAAGTCTCTCACCCAGCAGTAGAACTTGCTGATGATTTTAAGACTGTCTCTCAATAGAAAAGTGCTCTTTCTGCTCTTAAGTGTTCATGAGTTTTTTTTTGGTGAAAGCTGACATGTTCTCCATTCACTTTTTTTTCCTGACAATATCAGATCCTTTCTATTCCTGAATAACCTCTTCCAGATGAAGGTTTGCACAAATGACAAACACATTTTGCCAAAGTACATGGAAGAGGAAAGATCAATTAGTAAATTCCAAGAAATGCAGCTCACTGAATTCATATAATGGTGGCCCAGAGTAACCATGAAACAAAATTTCCCAAATGTGTCTGCCCTTTGAAATCATTTAAGGAGCTTTAAAAAATACTGCACTGATGCCACCAGAATAGAACCTGACCCTGGAAGTTTTCAAAGATACAGAGGGGATTTGAGTGTGTAGACAGGATCAGGAACCACTATTCTAAGACCAAGATGACAGTGACAAGCCAGGAGACGGTGGATCTCAAGCTTGTGTGTCTGTGATTGGTCTAATGGACGTATGCAACAACGTATGGCTGCTGATCTAACTGTGGATAGGCTAATATCTCCCTCACACACAACAGGATTGTGACTAAACCCTTTGTAAGGATCTGACCCCAGTTTCTTCTTTTAACTACAAAAGCATACCCTTTGGGATTCCCAGTCGTTGCTGTTCTTTTGTGAAGCCACTGAAAGTAGCTTTCAATGCTTGAGACATCATTTCTTTGCTGCTTGGAGTTAATAGTGGGACATCTGCACATTCCATATCTGTAAGAAAAAAAAGGATAAGAACCACAAAAAAAAATCAAATACATAATTAAATACTCAAAACATAACAGCATGGACAGACTGAAGACTAACTGAGAAAGAACTGTTAGCATTCTCATTAGATCAGGTACAATTCTAGGGGCTTTCCACAACATGCTGGGCCTCTGCCAAAAACAAAAAACAAAAACGCTAACTCTTTGCCTAAAACATCCTGCATCCCTGACAACAAAATACGCTTATTCCTTCAATGCAACTCTACTAATTCATCTATAGAGTCTTTGTTCATCTTTCACACTCATTTAAAACATTAGCATTACAGTACTTATTTTCAGGTACCTGTGACAAGGAAAGGAAAGAGTAATATTCATTCATTTAACCAATTATTATTTAGCATTTTTCATATGCAAGGAATTAGAGAACGAAAGAGCAGGAAACAAGACAGAAGTGGCCTCTGGACATCTGATTCTTGCAATAGATTCAGTCATCTTTAAAAAAAACTAGTATCACAATTAAATATTCAAATACTATGTCACAAGGACTTTAAAGGAAAAGGACAAGATGCATGTTAACATATACATAAGAATTCCTGCAAGTCTGTAGGAAACAGGAGAGGCTTCTCTTAAGAGAAGAGAGATAAATGACCTACAATCGGAAGGATGCACAGGACTTTGGTGGCAGGGGAAAGTTCACTAGACTGGTGATTCCCAAAGTGCAGTGCCCAGAGCAGCTATAGCAGCACCACATGGAAATTATCAAATGCAAATTCTCAGCCCCACTCCAAACCTACCTAGTCCAAACTTCTTGGAGTGGAGCCCAAAATCTGTTTTTTAGCACATAATCCAGGTGATTCTGATGAGCAATAAAGTTAGAGGATCCTAGTCCTAGACAAAGGGAAAGTATAAATGAAGGTCATGATGTGGAACAGAGGCTTGATGTATGTTAGTATCAAAAAGGTCAACACAGCTGAAGCAAAGTGATCAAGGAGAACAGCTGCCACTGATGAAATTGAAGAGGAAAGCAGATAGCACATTAAGTAATCTATCATTTAATCCTAAGTAAAATAGAAAATTGCTGAGAGTTTTATGTGGAAAAGGACCTGACTACATCATAAGATCTCCTTGGCTGTTCTGTAAAGAACAGTGGATAAGGTGAATATGAATGGATATAGGAAGACTTGTAAAACAGTTATTGCACTAGTTTTTCTGAGAGGCGATGATGACTAGGAAGCTGGCAACACAAGTAAGACAAGCAGACAACCTGAGGTGCATACAAGAGGTAAAATCTACAAAACTTGCTTTACATAAGGGTGAAGAAGAGTGAGATACCTGCAGATTAACCAGGGTTCTGTCCTTTACTAGACCTGCATGCTTCTTTGCCTCTGCTATGTCCAGCACCTCCCACACTTGCAGACCCTATTCACAGTGTAGCACATAAATATGGCTAAAACCAAAGATCTTCCGGGTGCACTTCAGGCTCAATTTCCCACAAAACAATAATCCTTTCTAGCCTTCCTGTGTGTGACTTTCAGCAGTGATGCACTCCACTATAATTTCTAGAAGCCCAAGTCTTCATGCACTGCACGTTGAAAATGACATCTAAAATGCCAGAGTTCCAGGCAAGGGTGCTACAGAAGTTTCTTAACTAGGCATTTCTAAACTTACATACATATGTGTTACTGGCTGAATAAAAAGGAAACAGAAGGAACAAGCTGACAATAGATGGCCCCCAATTGGGAGCAATCTTGTAACATTGCTTCTCAATGTCAAAATGAATGGCAGTTACACTGCCTGTAAGAAGAGCAGGCAGCACCTTCCCGCATGTTGCTCTCAGCCATGCTTTAGGAAACTGCTTAGAGTCCAGCCCTGCCCAGGAAGCACAGGCTCACTCAACAGCTCTCCCAGGCTCTGCCAGTGACGAGGAATCTGAAGCTCCAGGGAGTGGTGAGTTTGGGTTGCCCTGGGACGTGCCCAAAAAATTCTAATGGAAAAATCAGCATGCCTCCAGGAAGACTGACAAAATGACGGAAAATCCCAGATTGTTTGGGGTGAAAAAGTGGGGGAAGGGATAGAATGTTGATTACATAACATCCAGCCCTTCAAACAATGGAGTAATCACCAAATGAGTCACTAAGAAACACATCAGCACTCCCCATTCGTCCTCACTCTTCACATCCAAGAACAGCTAAGCAGCAGGTCCAGAAATATCTCTCCCTTAGAGCAGAGGTCAATTTTACTACACAGAAAGAGACTCTTTAGTTAATCAGACAGTCCAAATCCGAAAAAAGAGACAACTGCTGCCTCCCTAACTCCTAGCACAAGGCCAACAAATATTTTGTGAATTAAAGTTTTCCAGATTTGCATCAACTTCCCTCCCTTAACTCCCATCCAACATAAATTCATGAATTTGAACTGTGTGCGTTTTGTTTTGTGTGTTTATTCCCTCTATTAGATTTATGACTCGATGAAAAGAACTTTACTAACTGCAGAAACTGGCCAGGACAACACATGTGGAAAATGCAGGCCAAGCTAAAGGGACAGGCAGTGGTTCTGCTGCAGATGGGAACTAAAGGATGAGGTGGCCGGGAGGAGCCAGGCTTCTTCTAACATGAAAGCTTGGGCAGTGTGTTGCCCCTGTGAGGTTAAGGCCAAGGACGCCAGCAGAAAGCCTAAGAAAAAGGTTCCACCTGAGTCTGCTTCTGGTAATTCTACATACTCTGGTAGCATGATTGGGGCAGGAATGCTGAGTGGACAATTCTCTACACAGGATCCGGCTTCCTGTTAGGGAACCAGCATTTCCAGGTTCTCACTTAAGTCTCTCTAAGGGAAACAGCTGAAATTACCTTTTCCTATCCACCTCAGTGACATCTCCAAGTCCAGACCACATGTGGTCAGCTGCAGCTGTACAGGGACCCAGCTGGTGGTGCCCAGCACTGCCCCTCAAGCTATGGAATTTCATGCAGAGTTCCTAAAAAAGAGCGCACAGCCCAAATGGTAAAAACCTTCTTTACACACTTGAGACTCCTGCATGTGGATTTGTTCTCAGGTATAATTAAGTTATTATGTATGTGGAGAATCTGAAATGGCTCAATCCAAACAGGCTTCTCTCTGTTATTCTTAAAATATTTTACCTCATTACCTGTTACTGTATAATATTTTGTATTAGGTATCAATTATTTCTAATTTTAGAAGCAACATCCAGACAGTAGTCAGTACCTCCATGGATATTAATCAATTATATTTTATGGAAAAATATTGACACTGTCTTTGTTAATAATTACATCATCTATGGGCCAAGGATTTGGCCCAGTGGTTCCACCGCCTGCCTATCAAGCACAAAGTCCCAAGTTCGATCTCTGGTACCAAAAACATTAATAATAATAACTACAATATCTAAAGTTGAAATAGCATACTTGTCCCAAAATTCTAAGAAAGTGACCTGAAAAAATACCTATCCCAATACAGTAGAGACTCAACATAATACTCTGGAAACAGAAACATACTGTAATCCTGTGCGATTTCTTGTCCATTGATTATTCCTAGTACCCTAAATCTGAGTGAATATTTGTAAGAATTATCTAGGTTTCTGAGAGGAAAGTTGCGCAGATGTTAGTGAATAAATAATCATCCCAAGATTGCAGGGTGTGGAGGCCGAAGTGACAAGTAGCTTTCCTTGAATCTACAGGGCATAATGAGCCAATAGCATTTTGAATGCAGGGAAATGTGTTCACCTGTCATGGTGGCCTAGCCCTGAACCACCTCATACATGTCTCAAGTAAAATGTAAAAAAAGGATTCCTTTTGCTTGTCTGTATCTCAAAGTTAAGGGTTGATCAGTTTCTAAGAACACTTCAAAGACATTTCATGTGTCTTTTTATACCATTCTTCTGTGTTCTCTGAAACCAAACAGATCATACCAACAATGTTGCACAGACTCTACACTTCAGTTGGCTTTTGTTCAACAAGAAGTTCACAACATGTGGCTTACTGACCATACATGTCTCTTCTCTAGCTGTTCTTAATCGATGATGTAGAATGGAGTATCCTAGGTCCAGGTGGTGAGGGACACAGCTAAAGACAGGAAATCCAAGGCTAGATCCCAGGCTCACTGGATTGGGATTATAGTGGAGTATAATGGTACCTGCCATGTGTGTTGGATATTGTCACAACCAGAGCAGCATGAATAACATCCTTTAAGTCTGAAAACAGCTTTATAATTTGCCAAGACCCTTCACATAACACTATTCCATAATATCCTCATAACAGAAGACTTCTGAGGGGCCTAGAAGGTATTACAGGCTTCCCATTTTACAGGTGAAGAAACCAAAACTGAGAAATTAGGGGCTTGATTGGCCTAAAGGCACAGGGCCAGAAACCAATTATTAAAACTCTTCCAACTTTTTAAAATCCAGGGCCTTTCTGCTCTATTCCACTGCAAATCACAATCAGAGATCTAAGAAAATTAAAATTTTCAGAGCTGAGAGACAAGTCTTTATTTTTTGGTTTAATAATTAGATATATTTAAGGAAATAAACATTTAAACAAAGCTATCTCATATGGCTAGCATAAAAACATTATTAAAAGTCATTTACAGAATCATCTATATTCTTCTCTTCTCTTGAAACTAAGAGCAGTGAGGCTTCCTTCCTTTCATATGAAGCAAACAGGTTAAATGAAAACCCAGCTTCTTCCCCTGTCTGTGTTCAGCCCTGAATCACCCTAGTGGGCCACTGTGCACATAATATAAGGTTAATTAGTTACAAAAAGGCTTATGAAATGTTTCTTTGAGAAAGAGAAAACCAAGAAGAAACTTTCCAGTTCATATGAGGGAGAGAAAAGAACAACTGTCCCAATGAAAAGATAGGATTTTGAAGACAATAAAAAAGGTTGACTTGGCTCATTATCAAAATTTGGAGGTTCTGATCTCAATATTACTATACTCACAATGGCAAGTCACTTACTCAATTCACTTCACTTCTAAAAGAGATCTGCTAATAGGTGATGT